AAAAAAAAAAAAAAAAAAAAAAAAAAAAAAAAAAAAAGATGGAGGAAGTCATTTCAAGGTTTGAGAAGTTACATAGTAACCAAAAGCCATACACATTCTATTAATAGCTATGGCTATACAAGAAACTATATATTTTTCTTTTAAATAATGTAAATTAGTTTTTCCAACAGCTACTAAGCTGTTAAGACAATATACTTATGTTGTTTGGACACAACTATGTCATCAAAGCAACTGCTAGTTACTCCTTTTAGCCTAACATCACAACAAAACTCAGACACCAAGGGCACCATACACCAGGAAGGTTTGTGAAAGAACCTCTGTGCTAGCTAGTTTCTTTATTTGGTAATTTCCATTCTAAGATACAAAGGTGAAACGTATTCAAGGTAATAGTTTATCGAAAACTTTGCACTTCTTTTTTTGGGAGAAGGAATCTCGCTCTGTCCCACCGGCTGGAGTGCAGTAAGGAGATCTGGCTCACTGCAACCTCTGCCTCCTGGGTTCAAGCAATTCTCTCGCCTCAGCCTCCCAAGTAGCTGGGCTTACAAGTGTGCGCCAACATATCCAGCTAATTTTTTTTTTTATTTTTCAGTAGAGACGAGGTTTCACCTTGTTGGCCAGGCAGGTCTTGAACTGCCAACCTCGAGTGATCCGCCCACCTATGCTTCCCAAAGTGCTAGAATTACAGGCATGACCCACCACACCCAGCCCTTTTTTTTGATATGGAGTCTCACTCTGTCACCAAAGCTGAAGTGCAGTGGCATGATCTCAGCTCACTGCAACCCTCACCTCCCAGGTTCAAGGATTCTTGTGTCTCAGCCTCCCAAATAGCTAGGACTACAGGCGCGGACCAGGGCCATCACACCTGGCTAATTTCTGTATTTTTAGTAGAGATGGAGTTTCACCATGTTAGGCAGGCTGGTCTCGAACTCCTGACTTCAAGTGATCCACCTGCCTCAGTCTCCCAAAGTGCTGGGATTACAGGCATGAACCACCATGCACAGCCAAGTACTTTCCTTTCAAGCAACTCTGTGACTTTCCACATTCCATCTTTTGAGTACTTTTTAAAAAAATAATTTCTTGCTTTGGTTTTAGGCCTTGAAGAAGCATGCCTCTTTTAACATCCCCAGGGGATAGTTTTTTTCTCTGTTCAATAAAGACTGAAGGTCAAATATCACTCTCTCACTGCCTCCATAACAAATTAAAATTTCTCAGGACTCCATTATCATACTGTCAAGTATGCAGAGGCTACTTTAGATTATGTAATAAATAAACTGGAAATACACAGACATGGTTATTTACTTTGCAATAAAAGGACGGCCAAAGAAATTACTTTCTTTTTTTGTATAGTCGAAAATAACAAGTAAGCCTTTTCTGTCAGAAATCCTGAGTTCCAATCCTATTTTGTTTCTCTCTTTTTTTTTTTTTGAGACAAGGTCTTGCTCTTGTCACCCAGGCTGGGGTGCTATGGTGCGATCCTGGCTCACTGCAACCTCTGCCTCCCAGGTTCAAGCAATTCTGCCTCAGCCTCCCAAGTAGCTGCGATTACAGGCGCCTGCCACCATGCCCGGCTAAGTTTTATATTTT